TGTCTACGCTGCAGCGGTCCGGGATGTACTGACTCATCTGGCTTCCTGTTGGATTCAAGGGACTGTTCACTCATATATCAAACAATCCGGAATACAACAATTTTGAGAGAAAAAAAAGGCTTGCGGATTTTTTGCGGCCATTTTAGAACCAAAATAAAATACAAATTTTAAAAAATATTGAAAAAACACCATTCATGTAGAGTTGCACAAAAAAGGTACAGATTTGCACCAAGCGCCACAAATCACACTTTTTTTTGACTCACTCTGTAATTTCTTCCATTTTTTTTAACCTTTCTAAAGTTTCTACTTAATTTAACTTTTTTAGTTCTTTCGTTTTTAATTATTTATATTTTGTTTTTACAGACGGATATATTCTCTGTAGTTCGAGTTAAAACTTCTAGTGATAATATTATCAGTTGGTTTATGCAGAATACATCACAATACTTCTCCAGGTATATACAGAGCTTAACATCTAGATTTACGGGAGTTATATTGGTAATATTTAAATGTATATAGGGAGTTTAAACCGATTTTTTATAAGTATAGTATGGCAGTACGTGTGGTATGTTCATGAAGAAAATGATTGACCCAGAAACAGCTATTGGAAATAACTTTAAAAATTCGATTCTGCTATTTATACCCACTATAGTTCAGCCCGTTTAATTCTGTTGCATAAAACATGTTATGTCAACCACATACTGGGTACAATAGACGGGCTGGTACGGTAAAGACTTGACCGGCATCCTTGTACTGGTTGGATCAAGCAACTTTTGAACTAATTTGTACCCCATTCAAGGGTTTATTGTAAACATCAATAAACATTAATAGTGTATGGCGAGGGAGGGAACCCCCGGACGCCATGAGCCTCCGCCATTACCTAACACAAGTCTCCTAGATTTGCTAGGCAGACTGAGCCTTCACTATGCAGTAAGAGCCTCTACTATTCAGAACAGCTTCCTTATTACTCTTGGTTTTTACATCTAATTTAGAATTTTTTCCTTTTTGTCAACATTGTGGCATAAATACTTTATCAAAAATTAGAAGTATTATCAATTATCATATATAGTGACTAATTAGGACTAGTAAAATGGTTTTAAAAACTTGAAACATGTTCTTAGCAAAAAGATGGAAACATTCAGAGAATAAATTCTGAAAGTAATTTTATTTGATATTTCATAATCTTTGATTTAAGTGATAACTTTTTTTGAAATTTTTACCAGATTTGACATTTGCAAATGATCCAAATCTAAATAAATTTTCCAAAAAAGGTATTAGATAAATCAAAGATTAAAAGAAAATAAACTAAATTCAGTTAAGAAATGAATTTCCTAAAAGCCTCCTTACTGCGTAAGAAATGTTTTATTGTAAAAATCTTATAAACCACCTCATGAGTCAATATTAGATACAAATAGGGTTGTTAATCGTTTTTGAAAACGATCGTTAAACGATCGTTTTTTGTTTTGTTTTCAGAAACGATCGTTTCGTTTTCGGAAAAAAACGATCGTTTTTAAAAACGACCCACTCGTTTTGAACTTTTAGAAAGCGAATAGCGATCGTTTTTGAAAAAGATCGTTTTTATTAAAACGATTTGCGACCGTTTTTTATACGATTGTTTTTAAAAAAACGATAGTTTTTGAAAAAACGATCGTTTATGAAAAAATATTTTATTGACAATTATGTTAACGATCGTTAACGAAGGGTCGTCGTTAACGATCGTTAACGAAGGGTTGTCGATAACGATCGTTAACGAACCGACGAAATTTATCAAAATGGTCATTTTGGAAAAAAATTACATGCAACTTTATTGAATGTCGTCTTACATGAAGTTTAACAGTTGTGCATTTTTTAGAGTGAAGGTTTCCTTTAAAATATTAAAAATATATTTCACCTTCGACAG